GGCAGTTGGGTTTTCTAGTTTAGGGCAGATTCTAGATGCTTTCCAGGGGCCTTGGGCCACGAAGGGATTGCTCTCTCCTGCCACCCATCGTGCCCTGGGTAGAGGTTTGCCATGGTCACCAGGAAGGGGATGGTTTTCCAGATGTCTCTCGCTAAAATGTGCTCGGAAGAACTTCCCCCCACTCCATTTTGTTTCCAAAGAAAATTTATTGAATATTAAGTCATAAAGCCAGTGATATAATTTTAATGAAAAATATCCTGTATCACTCAAGACTTAAAAGAACAAAAATACCCCTTAGAAACACTGCCTTGAAAAATAATCACATTAACTTTACACACAACAGAGTCCTTTCTTAAGCTTTATTTAAGAAATCGAGTACTATATAGTTCAATATATATAAGACACATCCAGTATTGTGTTCCTGATAGCAAGTGCATAGATTTTGTTAAGATATCATTTCACTCGGTATAAACGTTTTACGGTCACATGAAGATAATACTCCCGGTGATTTTGCCCAAGCATGAGAGGAGAGAACAGAACACAGCAAAAGTAGCGAGCTACAACAGAGATGAGAAACAAAAACAGCGAATTAGCAGAACAGTCGATTCCTGATAAGTGAATAAGCTGATTGCTTGGTCACAATGTTTTATTCACTTATCAGGAATGTTGCACAGTACACCGATGTTCACTGTGTTTCCTAGCCTGCGGCTGAGAGGCCCAGCCCGTGGGTTGTTGGGAAGCATCATGGGCTGCCGTCCGCGCGGTGAGCGGTGACGGTCCTGTAATCTCCCAGGGCGGTCTGTGGGTGGCACACAGATGCACCTTGCTAACTAACACCGCAGCGGTGTTTGTTTTACAGCATCAGAATGGTAAGAATGAATTTAAGCAGGGACCAACTTTACAGTCATGAGTGCTTAAGGGAACTAGCATTTTTGTCCCCTTCTTTGGAGAATTACGATTTTTGTTTTTTCTAAAAAACAACAAAAAAACTGGCTTCGTCTTTCCCTTCTTTTACTTAGCATCAGTATTTTGCCTTATGCCAAATGGTGGATGGATATATATATAATGTATATATATAATATACATATATATATATTCATTCTTGTATTACTTATAGATTTTAAAAATAAACACTTGCATCTTGGAAAGACTCGATCACCCTCTTTACCCCTTCTCCCTCCCTCACACCCCCCATCAAAAAAAAAAAAAGAAAATCACACCCTTCGCCCTCTTTCCCCACTAAGGTAGGCAGTGGTTTTCAGAGGCAATCTGATGAAGGCTATGAGATTTAAAGCAGAACTATTGGCAGGAAGTCAGCTCCCATCTGTGCAGGTTTGGAGCTGGTGGAAGTCACTTCACTGAGGTGTTTGGCCTATGGGGGAAAAGAGCCTCCTTTCCTCCACCTCACCAGGTCCCTCTGTTGTTGAGCCGACTAGAAAAGACCATCTAGGGGCCAGAGGGGCCGCCGAAACCAGAGGGTGAAGGGCTTGAGCACCTGCGGGGAAAATCTCATTGGCAGCGGGAGGAAGGCTGCCCGGTGCAGGGTGGCCTGAGTCAGACAGAGTTTGTGCGTCTGAAAAGCTGGAAGGAGAGAGAAGACAGAGGGAGCAAACATCAATGGGATCTTTTAAGAGCACTTGGAGAGCAGTCCGATTCCTGAGCATAAGAGATGGGCAGAGATAGATGGGAGGGTGGCCGGGAGCTTCGGTTTCAGAGGGCGTACAAGGAATAGTTGTTCCTTTAGTTCTCTTTTGGTAACTGGGGTTGGGGTGATAGTGGGGGACAAGGTGTTCATTCAGGAGGGAGTTGTGTGGATGCATATGGCATCCTTGGCTTTCGTTTGGAAATGGATGACGTATCACGAAGACGTGAGCATGAGAACCTGTACCTCCTTCCCCTCCCACCTCACCGAGTAAGAGCTTCCTTTTGAGCACTTGGAAGTAGTCCCTTTATTTCCTGTTATTATTTTCAGTAATTAAAGCTGCTCCTGGATTCAATCAGCTCTTAAAAAGAAATAATTTAAATTACTTTTCTATACATCGGTAGTGACTGATAGGAATGTGTAAACTTAAGTTTAACCCTTTCACATCTCTATTCACCAGGTCATCGTGCCGTTTCTTCCCTTAGAGCTCAGCTCTTTGAAAAATGCGGTTAGTCCCTAGGAAGAGTTGGTAATGATACGCCTTTAGACTTGTGGGGAGGTGGAAGGAACCCTAGCTCTGCTTCTGCTCCTCTTAACATTTCTTAAAGAAGTGATGCAGCAGCGAGCCCTAGGAACTGCATCCGTGCACCCGCGACAGGGCGGGAGGAGGGAAGGGACCAGTGGGGTCAGAAGACCGGAAGAGGTCTGGGCAAATCCAACTCTGCAGGCAGTTATTTAGGGGAATGACAGAAGTAAGTAGCAGTCTTGGAACAGTTGGTTAGAATGGGCTGTTGTACAGAAATCAGAGGTGGCTGGTGTGCAGTTTCCCCCTTTCCCCAAATCAGATATTCACTTAGGTGGAATCGACTGTATCTTTTTACACAACATATAGAAAAAAAACAGATACGTGAAACAGTGAGGTGTGTAGATGTATCACCAACATATAATGACTACCAACAATACAACACGCAGAGAGAGAAACAAGTATTAGGAAAATGGTTTAATATTGGAGACAGAAGCAAAAAACTGCATCACACAATAACATACGTTACAAAAATAAGTTTGACTGTTTCAACTACACGGTTATGTTCACAATGAGGACAGAAGAATCAGAAAAAACTTTGATCTAAACAGCAAAAAAGCAAACCCCTAAAGCTGTAACTAATACATTTATCCACTTAAAGTGACTGAGTACTTCTAAATCTAATTACCTTATTGTGTAACTGCACAATACAGAATAAAAAGTGAAACTTACCGCTGTATTTTAAGACAAAATTCTAATGCTAGATATAAGCAAAGGGAAAAAAGAAATCAAGCCAAAGTTTTTAATTCTCAAAAGAAAAGCAACTTTCTTTCTATCAACCAGAAATCAAACCTGAAATCAGTCATTGTCAGGGGGCCCACTAGAGTAAGCCACAAAAATTTCCATTTTTTTTTAATCTCCAGTATAAAAAGTTCCACTGGTACAAAATGCGTAAGTACAATCAGTTGTAGAAATAGGAAAGCCTGCGTTTTTTTTTTTTTTGGCTCAAATTCCATCAAACAACAAAATCCAAATGCATCAATAAAACAAACAATACTCAAATGGTCTTACAGTTTCCACTAGGTTGCATTAACTTTGGCTTTTCTCAGACAATATTTAAAAACTATTTTGTAATTCTAAACAAAATGATATTATTAATCTACAAACAACAATTCTCACAGCACAAAAAAACACAAATACATTTTTTGTATGACATTCAAAAAGGTAATGAAACTACAGGTTTTTTTAAAATTTTATTTCTTCTTGTTAATTAGCACTTAATAAAAACAAACAGTAAAATGAGTCCAGAGTAGCACAAGCCAAAGAACTATAACCCCTATGGTGAAAGAAAGATGAACTTGTTACACCTTTGAGGACTGCCATTTTATCACAATTCTCTAATTTAGTGTAAAAACGACTATTCTCTACACTTGATTTTAAAAAAAGCAGTTTCCCTGTGTGTTTTTCCTTCTGGCACAGGCCCTTTGCACCCTTGCAGCTTTTTTTTCCTTTGATATTAAAAGATAAAGTGAGTAAAAGTCAATTTGTCTCTGAGGAGGGTCAGCTTTTAAACAATGCAAACATGCAAAAAAAAAAAAAAAAAAAAACTTTCCCCCTGAAATGTACTGTTTTGGTCGCCTGCAAAATAAGAAACACCCAATGTGAAGTGCCCATCCTGAGCCTCTTGTCACCGGCATTCAAGCTCCTCTGGGGGAGATGCAGGTGTGTGAAAAGGACAGTCTGAAATGGAGATGGTGGTGTTCTCTTGTGTGCTGTGCGTCCACAAACCACCCTATGCTGTATGTGAGAGAGAGAGAGATGTGTGGGGACTCCTGGTATTAAGCTGATGGCTGCAGGAAGTACAAAATAGCCCTCAAAGGATGAAGGAAGGCCCCAGCAGTAGTAAACACGTGTGAGGATAATACAGATCGTTTCACTGTAAGTGCATGTGCTATAAGAAGGAAACTTGTTTTATGTTTAGTTTTTGTTTTTTTTTTTTTGCATCGTTAGAGGCTAGTCCTTTCCATCCCAGGGCTATCACGTCCACATGAAACTCAACAGAGTGGTGAGTGGGAAAAGGAGGAAGGAAAGGGAGCCAGCAGTTTCTGAACTCCTTTAAAGACAAAGAAGCTTCCAGGGCCTGCTTTCAAGAAGGCAGGAGTTTGTGTTGGGGCCTCAGGGATGACACTGGGTTTTGTCAAGACAGTGAGAGTTCTGTTCAACGTGAAGTCGAAGTCAAAGTAATATGGCACTTTATAGAGTGGCAGCAGGATCTGGTGCTAGGTATTTGGTCAGTAACTGTGATAAAGAATAGAGTTGGACTTAGATGGTCAGTCCACTTTCAATGATTTCAATTAATGAAATTAACAAAAAGGCAGGGAAAGAAAGGACTATCAACTTCTAACCCCAACCACCTTGCTTAATCAGAGGTATCTCCTGGGATCAGAGAATGCCCAGCACAGTGGCTGATTAGAAACATCATTAATTGGGAGTATTTAAGGAATAAAATCCCTCAAAATGCTACCCCATCACAAAGTCGTTTAACTGGAAGGCATATGAAAATATTCTGAACTAGAACATACCCCTACACCTGATCTCAAAAGCATATAGAATTTAAGGTTAATAATGTAGGTGCTGAATCTACCTACCATCCCCCTTAGAAGGTTTATCCAATCCACTGTTTCTAATTAAAACCGGAGAAGGAATTTCAGCAGCACATTAGTTTTAAAATGACCAGAAATAATCAATCAATCGAAACTAAAAAAAAAAGTGTAGGGAGGAAAAAAACAAAAAATGGAGAGGGCGAAAATATATTTTTTCCCTTCAGATTTGCTTTGTGGAGTTTTTTTTTCTTTTGGATCTCAACCAGTGGGTAAAAAAAAGTAGAAAAGACAAAACTCAAAAGATGTATGGGGCGGGGGGGGGGAGTCCAAATTAGAAACACCCTGGAACAAACAGAAATGACAACGGTATAAAAAGTTACCAACGCTCCAGACAGCTCTGGGTAGAAAGGGTTAGAAGTTCAGAACTTTCTCACCTTAGAGGTTTCCATAGATTATGAAGGAAATACATCGTGAGGTTGCCATCACAGCATTGATGTGCAGAGCGGTTAAAAAAGTGAGACATGGGCACTTATACAATGTCTTACAAAAAACATCATAGAGAAATAACAAACAATAACAATTTCAGGCAACAAGACCACAGGATAGCAAGTTAACAAACTTTTTAACCTCTTTTTTTTTGTTTTTTGTTTTTTAAATATTAGGGATTTATACAAAACACATAATAAAATACCCATGTTATCAAATTACTTCTCACAAGAAACACACTGAAGCTCTAGGAAGGAAGTACCTTTGGAATTTGGCACTATATATTTTCACTTTTTTTCTTTAAAAGAAAAAAAAAATCACATTTTGCTGAACACAAACACATCTAAATAGTCCACAATAAAAAAAAATGACATCAATGCTTTACAAGCCAACACAAAACTTATTCTGGAATAGGGTTTTTTTTTTTTTTTTTTTCCCTCACATGAATTTTTTTTTAAGCAAACTTTTTTTTTGAAATTCTTTAAGTAAACCAATTCTAACCTTGTCTTATCAACAGAGAACATTAAGACCATAAGACTCATGATTGAAACCACAACTTAATTCACAGAAGCACCAACATAACAGTTTACAGTAACCTTTCTCCTGTACATTGAAACAGTATAAAATATAGGTAATTTCATGTGCATTAAACCATGGATTGTCTAACTGTGAGTCAGTTCAGCAAAAGGTGACACAAATAGGTAGCATTTGCCCCAAAACAGGGTAAATATTTTTCTTATACTAATCTACAAAAAGTGGTTCTATATATATATCTTAATGAGAAAGTGAGCCACCTAAAATGGCCTTATCAAAAAACTTTACACTGCCTGAAAAATGTAAAAACTATTACAGACCTCTAGAGACTTAAAATCAGACAGTTTTTTTTCTCAAACTGTTTTTGGAAGTAGTCTGTTAGAAACCAACATTCTGTGTCCCTGGACACATATTGCTATTGTTACCAGTGACCGGGAAGAATGCCAATCCCTGTATAATACTTTCAAGTCTGTTTTATGAAAAGAAAAAAAAAATAAGAAAGAAACGTTTTTGCCACAGGTTTTTTTTTCTATAATTAATTTGTCTAATAAATTTCAGTCTTGCATGAATGCAGCAATGTTTTTCACATTGACTTCCCAGAATTCATAGCTAGATGAGGTCACATGCAAATTTCAAAGGTCAAACTAGATCAAAGGTCAGTAGGAGAACCAAATGTGATGTGAGGTCAGAAAGACATCAGAAACAATGACGGGACGATGAAACTTTTTTTTTTTGAGACGCCACAGGGACATGCTAGGCAAACGGTGAACTAACGGGCATGAAGATGTCTAGGGAGAAAACAAGGGAGAGTAAAAAGTTACACAGAATCTACGCAGCAGCAACAAAATCACTCTTAAGGGTGCAGGAGAAAAACTAATGCAAATCTTAGGTCATCCCGGGAGTCTACGAGCCATTCCCGTAATTTGCATTTCTTACAATCTTTATCCACAGCACAATGGAACCCCAAGAGAATCCATCCAGAGGAGGAGAGGGGGATGGATTCCAGGAGTTTTGGGGTGGGGGCTGGCGAGGGACAGCGGGGGAGGATCCAGTTTCAACGGATGTAACATATGGGGGAGAGTCAGACGACCGAACTATAAACTAGATAGATCATGGAAGCTACAAACAAAATCGTCAGACAGATACAAACAACAAGAGGGAAAAGCATGAACTGCAGGCCTAGGGTTCAACGGTGAAAAAAAGCCCATTCCTAGAACGATTCCTCTAGAGACTACTTCAAAAGGATCTAGCTAGCACAGAGAACTGCTCTTTAGGTACCCAATAAGTTAACAATAGGCAATAAATAACTTCCATTATTTCTGAGGCAGTAAAAATTTTGTACAAAAATAGAAATGCTTTTTTTACAAATAAAATTTACAGGCCTGTGGCTTTCTTTTTTATTTATGTATTTATGTATTATTTATTTATTATTAAATTTATCTTTCAAGAAACATCAAGTATTTTCACTCATTTTTATTTTATTTTTAAACCCTGTAGCTTTAAGAAACAGATCTCTAAATCTTTTTTTACATTAATCCTTTCTAAAAACTAAAATAAAACAACAAAATAGACAACCAGTGTAATAATCTGACCGATAAATGTCATGTTTCTTTGAACCCTAAAATAAAATCCTACTTGTTAAAACAAACCAAATGTAGTGGAAAGACGTTTGTATTGTTTTAAGTGCTTCTCCTGGCTTCTCTCTCGAGCTAGGCCACCACCTTAACCTCTAAACGGCCGGCGCCCTCCTAGGGACGGGCGCAGACAGGAGGGGCGAATTCTCCAGGCAGTGCTCTGGGGCACCAGGGGGCTCAGAGTTAGAATTGCACGTTAGCCTTTGTTTGCCTTTTAAATTCTCAAGATGTCATTTATTTATGTGTATTTTTCTTTAAAAAAAAAAAAAGCAAAAAACGAGAACAAAACGAAAAAGGTAAAAGGAGATTCAAATTGCAAAACAAAGGAGAATACAGTGGCACAACTGGAAGAGGAGTTTTACTCGATAGAAACAAGGTAGCCCAAGTTTTTAATTATGGCGAACTGGGTGGGGGGCGGGGGAGGGGACATGGAGGCCTTATAGTAAAAATAACCGTCTCTCTTGGTAAAAGTTGGCAATGTGGTCCTCCTCTGCCTTTCCTGTTGAGTACAGGCTGGCTTGTGGGACTTACCCTAAGAAAGCTAAAATAAGAGCAGGGAGCCTCTGGGGTTAGGATCAGTAAGGTTTGCTGTCGTTTTTGGAGCGCTTCAGCTGGACCTTCAAGCGTTTCATGCCAATCTGAAAGCCATTCATAGCCTGGATAGCAGCTTGTGCGGACACAGGATTGTCGTAGCTAACAAAGCCTGGAAGACACAAGGGGAAGGGCGGCGGCAGTCAGCATGGAGAGGCAGCGCAGGAGACGGGAGGGCGCAGGACGTCGTGGGGGCGGGGCTGCAGAGGGTAACTGTACGTGGTGGGTAGCGGGGGCACGTCCCGTGGGCTCGGCCGGGGGCAGCTCTGCTCGGCTCAGGGTGTGCCGGCCGTGGACGGACGGGGTGTGTTTTACGGCCACCCCTGGGCACGTCCACTGAGAAACAGTGAGAAAAGCGGGTCGGACTGGGAATTTGGTATGACAACAACCCTCTCCTCTGTGAAAAACGAAATCTCAGACTCTCAGACTCTCAGACTCCTGGTCTGTTTGCTGACTTCGGTCAAGCCTGTCTGCGTTTCAAGCCCCTTGGAATCCTTCTGACAGAACCCGTGGTGGGGCTCACAGAGGCAGAGGCATAGATACTCCGGGGCTCGCAGGGTCCCCAGAGGCTCACGTGTCCCAACCAGGTGCGGCTTAAACGAAGGGCTGGTAACGGCACACTGCAAACACCCCGACTTTCATTCCAGTTCCCCATCTGTATCCACACAGCCCACACCTGTTCGACTGTCGGATGGGGTCAGTCAGTGAATTAACTCTAGGATAATTTGTACTTGATTTTTAACATTTTGGAGTTATTTCTGAGAGGGACCTAGGGACCCAAGGGAAGTGCCGGGCCTTTCTTATCATCTCAACTTCCGTTTTCAAAGCTCCACTGCATTCAACAGACTGGAAATTGCTACATTATACCCCCTAAGAATAAAGAGTCTGAATAGCTTAGGGCTTAAGAGCCATCCTCACAGACCTCCCAGTACCTTGGTCTGTCCTAACACCACCAAAATGGCAGGGAGGGCATGCTGTTGAGAAAGGGCCAGTGATGCTCTGCAAAGACCCAGAAACAGAATTCTGATCACATAGTTTGCTCTAACACTGGTGGTGGGGGTAAGAGGGTACACGCAAAGCTTTCTTTAGGTAATGCCGACGTAAAGGTGTTGAACTCGTACTGTCCCTACTTCTGGGGTTGAAAGGAAGCTATTATACTGGGTGAATTTCAGTTCTCAACATCAGCCGTTCAGAAGGTTCTATACTAAGCTTCTTCAACTATCTGCTATTAAAGTCTAAAGCTAAAGAGAAAATTCCTTTACAAACTGGAGGAGGAAGAAAAGGACATAAATATACCTTTAGCAGAGTTCTCAGCCGATAAAAATGAGCATATGGTATAATGCAGAAAAGCTTTTCATTGGCAGGCTGTACTGCAAAATGGTGGTACAGATTTTTACTAAATCTAATCCCCAGTATATGTGCTCTCGAATCCAAGATTTTGGCTCTGATTTTCTCCTTTCCTTCTAGGTCGTTATCCAGAAGCAGCAAGATGATTAAAGAATGGAAATGGGTCAAGGGTGAAATGGATAACGAAACCCGGCCAAGAGGTTAGCATGAAAGAATGGGCTACCTAAGACTAGCAAATCTGGGACCCCCCCCCGCAAATTAGGCCAGCTCACTGAGAAATGTAGGTTTGGGATGCTGCGCCTTTTGATAAAAATTGAAAACAGTGCATAGTGCTAAGTACCATTGTCTGCCGACATTCATAGGTATAGCCTGCATTATTACACCTTGGTTGAAGAGTATGTGGGCTGATATCTCTTTTCAAGGCACTAACTGTTTTTCTCAAAATCAGACCCTTGAAGCACAATCCCTTTCTGATCTCCAAATAAGCCCAGGACATTGCTTAGTGATGAGGAGTATAAAAGTCTGGCTCATAACCTCGCGCAGGGAAGCTCCGAGTGGTAAGCTCCCACCGAAACACACACGCCCCCCCCCCGCCCTTGTAACCACTCCCTTTCCATTTCACTTGTTGGTGCGCCATCACAAGGGGGTTTATGTACTTGTCACAGCAGCAGCGACAGTGGGGTCGGTTCAGGCTGACACCCTGTCCACTTGGGTAAAAACAGTGACTTTCAATGGTTGACATACTAATTCCCCTAACAACAGAGGCTTCAGACCTTCCTGGGTGATGGCACAGAGATTAGAAAGACGTTACGATAATGGGGTTTTAGAAGCCAAAACATTCTCTTTACACCCGTTGCCCATTACCAGTTAGCCAAATACTAAGTTTGAGTACCACTCCTACCACCTTTGATGTTTTTCTTCATACCATATAGTTCTCTTTGTATTTCCTGGGTCCGGATCTATTCCAATTTGTTTGGTGCTCTTACTGCCTACTACCTCCATGAATTACTAGATTGGAGGAATGATGAAGGCAAATGTTCGGTCTCAGACTGGGCCAGAACTTGCCAAGCAAGTAATCTATACTCTGAACATTCTAGCCTCTAAGCTACTTTGGAGACCAAAGGGGTTCAAAAAGCAAAACAAGAAATAGATTTAACGAACGCTATGCTCCTGGTTCTAAAACATTAGGGCCAGTGGAGAGTGCGCCTCTCTCTTAGGGAGCACAGAGCCTGGGCTGCGTGAGGAAGGAGGGCACGACAGCCCAGGCCCCCGGGGACCTGGGTCTTCCAGTGTTCTCTGAATGCTTGCATCTCCTGGGCTCTGCATCCACTCGGGCGGGCCCTGCGGAGCCCATCATCCCAAATTCTGGCTCCCGAATCAGCATAATGAAGCACTTCCTGGGACCGTGACGGGCATCAACTCCCCGTCCCGAGCTTGGGGGGGCTGCAGTGTGGCCACACCCCTACTGTGAAGGTATGTGAGAATCTAGGAAGCCTCCCCATACTACATGCTACCCAGATCCACAAGTGCCCGAGGCCTCCTGCACCTAGAAGGCTACGGAATTCGTGGCAGTGTCTGCAGTACTGCTCTGTATCAGGATCGCCTAAACTACGCTATAGTCCATTAACTGTATTTCCCTCTGCTCAAGTTCGTGGTTCCAGCGGTGGGGCCTGAAGAAACTAGTGAAAGATGACTAGCTGCGTGTAGTAAGACCCTGAGTAGCACAGTACACAACATCATCTAAGGCGTGGGCATTTAGTTTCATTTCCCAGATCCTTCCTTTTTATATAGCCCCTTCCTCTGCTTTTGACTAAATGACTTTGCCCGATCTGCTTACATGGATCCAGAACACCAGGAAACAGCACCACCCAGGGAAGGCCCTATCTGGACTTCTCAAATATTTGCCATTTACATTTTCCTTCCCATGATTCCTCACACTTGGGAATGTACTGTAATATTCTGGCTTGGTTTCTTTTGCATACCAAAGCACTTGCTCAGATTGGTCTGTTTGTCAATGAAGACTTTAGCAGAGATAACATTTCCAAAAGGCATGAACATCTGCAGAATGTCCTGGTCTCCAAACTCCTGTGGAAGGTGGTAAATAAAGAGGTTTGCACCCTCTGGACCTAAAGAGGAAAAAAAAATCAGAGTAAGGTATTCTTCGCTTCTTAGTTCCCAAGGCCTCTTCTTAGGACTGCTTTAACAACAGATAGCCTAAGCATTTGCCTTTCTCTCTCATACTAGAAGGGAATGAGATAGATGGATAAATGTCAAGTGCTGGTATGTCTTTCAAGACGGGAATCATCCTTCAGATGTTCCTGATTTCCAAAGACACTGGTCAGCAATAGCTGTCTTTTCACTGATCATCTTCTGTGGCTCGCATTTGCTTAGTGTACATATTTTCAGTCTCCTCTTCATGGGGGTGAAGGTGGTCCCCATGGGGTAGAGGTGGGGAGGAGGATGCAGGAGTGGGTTTTTCCTGGGTGGCTGTGTTTTGTTGTATGTATATATGATCTCTTGGAGTTGAGAGTATCCTGTGTGTTCTAAGCAAATTGCAGCAATTTAGAATAATGGATATAGCAGTAATGTTGCTTGGATTTCTCAATCATTTACCTAATTATCCATCCAGTTTTGATTTGCCAACTCTCTTAACGGAGTCTAATAATCATTTTTATTAGAAATGACTGGCAGTGAGTCAAGGCAGGGAAAAATAGGTAGCTAGAGTTTCACAGCTGTGATAGGAATTATACCACTGGGGATTAGCCTTGGAAATGAACGCACAAGGTGCAGAAGCCAGGCAGACACCGAGCTCAGAGCCATCACTTTCCAGAGAAACAGGAAGCAAGGGCAGAGTATGGCAGGTCCTCTGAGCTACACTGGTTAGAGAGGTAAGCTCTCCTTGTCTTCCCCTGTCATTCTCCATCTCTCTAGCCACTTGCCCGAGAGCCATCCGAAGGTGAAAAGGAGGGAATCTGAGTGACCTGATGGGAGGTAATCATCTCACATAGAACAGGCAAGGAGGCTTTCCAGGTCCAAGGCCGCCTGGGGTAGTTACAGATCCCCCCCCAGCCCCCACTCGCCTGGAGGGCCCCCCCCCCCAGGGCTGGACGTCTCTAGGATGTTCTAAGTTCGGGGCGTGGTGTCTGGAAGGGAAGGGTGCTCACAAAACAGATGAAGTAACCTTGGCAGCTGACTCCTGGAACCTTCACTGGCATCCAGGGGAGGAACCAGAGCTGCCTGCCCCACTGGGATGCCCCAGGGGAGTGGCTGCAACGGGTTCCTGCAGGGGGTGTGGTGGTGGTTAGTATTTGGGTCTAAGAGAAGTAAAACCGGAGTAAGAATAACTTTGTAAAAATAGAAGAAACATCTTTGTAAAGAAGAGTCAAACCAAGTTTCTTCCCACAAAAAAACAGTGTACTAATGTGTGGGACTTTTCCCAAGGATGTCTTCTGGAAGCAAGTTTCTGAAGCCACAGAGATGAAGCATTTCTTTAAGTTCAACATGACCACTTTAACTTTCTGTGTCGCTCACAATTCCCATGGACATATCCACATTCCAGTGCCAAGGAGGCAGTCTGTAATTCAAGGGACACAGTTGCAGGTCTTAGGTCCCCAAATGTTTCCTGGTTTAAAAAAATTCTTAAAAAAATCAACACTAATATGAATAGGTGAAAAACCAAAACACTGGAAAGGGATGTTTGGAGTGCCACCAGGCCAGGCACGGCTTCGGCAGTGTGTGTACTGGACAAATCTGGCACCACCCAGGTTTCATGTTCCTTCTCAATAAAAGGTCCACATGTACAAATGAAGATTTATGGGACCCACTCTCAACTCCACTCTGAAGCCCAGGGAGAAAATGCAATTTAATGCACTCTGTCAGAGTACTGGCTACGCCTGGACAGTCCTGGCATTCTAGAACACTGTACATTCCGACCGTATCTGTGCCACATGGGGGGACCAAGAAAATATGAAAAAGGTCACTCTAAGGAGGCTCTGTTCTTTATTCACCATCTCCTAGTGTAGACCCCACCAGTTTTCATCACCCAGAAATAGTTTGATTTTGCAAACTGCCAGAATTGTGAACACTAAAATAAGAAAAAGGTGACTCGATGTGGAAAACCTCTCTTCCGTGCAAAGAAGGCGGCTGTTGCCATAGATACCAAAGGTAGAGACACAAAAACACGTTTTTGAGGGTTCCACCTATGTATCCACCTCACTGTTGCTTTTAGTAAGAACCTGCTGACAGATCATGCATTCCTTGGATCTCTCCCAGTACATGTCATTTTAACTTGCTGGAGTTCTCTGTTAGAGTGTTGGTCCCAGCTGGCTGGGTGCTCACATTTTGTATTTCTCAGATAGGGGCACTTGGTCTAGCATAGAGCATTGGGGGTGTCTGTGGCCGACGGCCAGCACCCACCAGCTGCTTCGTGGCCTTCCCGAGGCTCTACCTACTTGTGTGTGCGTGACTGCCTTCTGCAAATCAAGGAACACAGGTAGGTATGACAGAGGTCAGGGAGTATTCAGGAGTGATAGGAAAGATGGTAAACTTTCCTGGATTGAGGTCGATAGGGATGCCATAACCCTTCAGATTTAGCTGGGGAATATATCAAAGCCACTTTAAAACAACAGCAGCAGCAAAGCCAGCCTGGCTCATTTTCCTGTGGGAAAATATATACTAGGGTACATGACTAAATGCATCAACTTGACTTTCAACTCTCTTAACTAAAGGACAAAACCATTGAGCAGAAAATCTAAAAATCTGTTTAGTTGTGGAATTCATTGGTTTTTTTTTTTTCCTTCCAAGTATAACCTGTTTTGAAAATTATGTTGCAGTTAAACTAATATTAGGATGGTTTAAATTTCTTGAGCACACATCAACTGGGTGAAAAGAAGGTGATCAGAAAAGAGGTATGAGAAGGTGGGAGATGATTAAAAACGCTAAACAAACGAAAAAACACCACCACCACCACCACCAAAATCAAAACTAAACCATGCTACCGGTAGCCCCAATACCTAAATGTCAATGATCGCAGGTTGGCAGCCATTATTCACATTAATCCCAGAGGGTTAGCTACTGCACAGGCAACCCCAAAAAGGCAAGGCTTGGAAATGTGGGGCAGTGAGCTGCGGTAAAGCAGCAGAGGACAGTTGTTTCGGGGCCCACACTCTATCCTTGCACCAGTACATGGCGAGTCCACTGGTGACTGGTGTTCCTCGGTGACATACGTCATGTTGCTTGCTCTAAGGCTCTGCTGGGCAACGGAGCAGTAGCCAAGATTCTTTTAAGAATCCTGCAGGGGACCGGCTTTTATGTTTTCGCCTAAGAACATCATTATCTCACGGACCCCTCCTACCACAGTCACCGTGGTAGTCCGACCCCAGGCAAGGGACCTCACTGCAGCCCCTTCTTTGGCAAGGCAGGGTATTTATGATGTAGGGTCTCCACATGCCTCGGGAAATACAGTTGCCTGAACGGTGGTGCAGGTTTTTAAAAATCTACACTAATGGTCACAGCTAAGAATAAAGAGAAAGTTGAAATAATGAAGAATTTAGATTTTCATATATCTCATTTTTAACGATTTATAAATGGAAACAAACCTTTGTTCTACAAGAGTATCTTTAAAGCTGTGTCCCTTTTAAAGTTCACAACTTTACAAAGTTAAAACATTCTATTCTTATAGAACACCATATTTAAAATACGCAGACAAGAACAGTCTGGAAATGTAGGCTGAAGATAAAGGAGAAGGGAAAGAAATTTGTAAAAACTTCCTCAGCAATACTTCCCAATTCTAGCCCCTTCCGCCATACTCCGACAGGTGTGAAAGAGAATAAATATCATCATGGTGCAGAGTTCGCTTGAAAGCAGTTTCTACTAAGGAGAAGAGACCAAAAGGAAGAAAGGAAAAGACAAGCTCTCCCTCTTGGGACTGGTTCATTAACTGTTTTAGAATTAGCTTGAATTTATTCTTAGCATTCACTTCCTGAGACTCACTTTGCGTCATTGGCAGAGAAGCAAGACCATCAATCACGTACTTACTTCCTCAGAAGACCCCCGATTCAACACAGACCCAGCCGATCCTGATGGTGCGTTTTATCCTTACCCTGGAAACCTTCGCCTATGAAGAGGCCAGCTAACCAGCCATTGGGCGTGGGGACGCCGAGATACCTGGGACATGCCTGGGAAGACCATCGACTGACCCCTTCCACTAGGGAGCAGTTAATGTGTAGTAGACGGTCCCTGCTGACTTGGGAGAGCGTGTTCCTGCCAGGTTTCTGAGGGCAGCAACTACTGCCCTCAGGTAACTGCGCAGAAGCACGCAGTGGGTGAGAAATACGTCTGAGGAGGTAAATTAAAAGACTGATGGAAAAATTGCAAGATAAAAGAAGTACAAGTCTGAGGAGGACAGGAGAGAAGATTCAAACCAATGGCTTAGTCCCGTTAGGTTTCTTAAGAGAGAAAAACAAACCCCATCCCATGAAGGGCAGAAATAAAATAATGGCTCTCTCCTAGGACACTGGCTCCGTCGAGTTTCTCGGAGGCCGTCCGGGCCCTGGGCGAGCACCTACCTTCCTTCTGGCTGCCCGCGGCGCTCTGCTGTTGCAGCAAGCTCTGGCTGTACAGAGTGGGCAGTGCCGCGGCCGCGTACTGCTGAATCCCTGAGTAGGCCTGCGTGAGGGCGTCCATGGTGCCCGCCGTGCCATTCGTCAAGCCCGTGGCGCCAAGTCCTCCATTCAGAGCCGCCATACCTGAGAGCATTTGAGCAACTTTACAAAAAACCCAACAATAGAGAAGAGAAATAGCACTTTTCATTAGTGCTTTCCAAAGGAAGTTAGAGAATCATTTGACACAAGTAACAACAGCAAGTGCATGCAGCTAGCACACCGATGAAACCGACACGGAAGTGAACACGAAACTATGACGTAACACGTTGTCACGATGGGGAACACACAACAAAACCCACGAAACCCCCTGAGCAATGATGCCGTCACTCCCTAAGGCCAGTGAGCAGACTTCACGGAGGCATGACAGTGAGACAGGACATCGTAATTCCATGCACGGTGCTACTGGCAAGTACTGGTATCGTTTTGAAATGAGAGCCTTTTCCTTCGTAGAGCCCAGAAGCACGTAAGAAAACGTGAGTGACGGGGGCTCGTAACAGCTATGCACTTAAATCCATTTCCTGGGTGCTCTGAGGAGCCATGGGATGGCTCAAGGGTTTGCGGAAAAAGGGATAAAACTTGTCTCCAGCAGCGGGCTGATGAGATGGTCCCGGAGGCCAGCTCTGTCCCCAGGGAACCTGTGTGTGGCCCCCTGAAACAGCTCAGGGATGTCGTCAGGGAGTGGGCCCTTAGAAAGACTCGTCTAGCTGATTAAGAATGAAAGCATAGGAAAAAAATGGGGACCCTTAATCTAAGTGTAGAGAACTGAGGCTGCTTACTCAGTGGGAAAGGCTCCAAATAGAATGGGGCCAACTTGAATAGCAGACAGACACACAGGCAAATATGAATCCGGGTCACGGGAGCGTGCACCCCTGAAAGCGCTCCATGTCGTGTTTTCCGGTTAACTGAAGTGACACCCATGTCTGTGAGCTGGATCTTGGCTATTCACGGATGGGAACTGGATGCCGGCCAGCGCACTTTGAGTTTTTTCTTGTATCCTGACTGCTCTTTTGCTCGATTATGGTGGCTGACTGTGCCACATTTTCCCTGAGTACTGAGTCAAAACAAGCAACACTCTATAGAGTGCTAACTTTCGTATGAACACAGGAAATGGAAGAGGTGGCATCATAATAGCCTTTAGTTGCCTTTATGATTAAAACATTTAAAAAAAAGAGATCTGTTTCTGGGAAGAACTCACTGAAAACATTAATGAAACTCTTGAATGGATTAGGGCTGCTGATTAGGGCTATTAAAATAGCAAAGATGACTAACTGAAAAACAAATTGGCAAGAAGTCTAATGAGGACAGAGGACCAGATAAAGATGCTTAGAAATGATACAGAGGAATCCAGTATCAGAATCACGTCAACACCCACCAGTGTTCTTGCGTGCCATCCACAGAAGATGGAGCAGGTGGGGAATGTTCTACGTACTCTCAGCATGCCTCGGTTACTCTGACAACTTCATCTCTTAGGTGAAAAGGACTACACACAAGATATGAATTAGACCATGGCTTAACAGCAGAGGAAATGCATAGTGCCTCAAGTGCGGTATTCTTCCGGGGGGGCTTGAGGGAACAGAAGTGGGCCCTGGGTGAAGTCACCAAGTACAGTGTCCTCAGGACAGACACCGCACCGGGGGTGGGGCTGGGGGGGGGGTGAGGAGCCTCTGAAGGACAGAAGAATGGAACGATAAGCCTCCTGAAAAAAGGACATCCTTGCGGGTGGGTCTAGCAAATACAAACGAAGCTAAAAAGGTGCCGGCCAGCAGAGGTCCTGTGGACTCTGCTCTAAGTTTCTTACTGAGAAGCATTCTATGCTCTCATTTTTTTTTGCTTAAATAAATGCTGTTAAAGAGCTTGGAACCGGTGTGTCCTCCTAATGAAACAGTCCCTCAGACACCAGCTGACCCATTTACCCCACTCAGGCCTCTCTCATCCTCTGTCCCTGGTATTCTAGGGCTGCTGAAGGCTGGGGAGTAACTTCGCTTTTCTCCTTCGGTCTTATTTTATCCTCACCTCCCAATATTTGTGTGAATGCAAAGAAACAGCAATGGTTCTTTTCTAGAAAGGTGACAGGAGGGTGTAAAATGACTCCGGGGGAGCTGGGCACAGTTCAGTGCCGTCTGTTTCATTTCCGTCTGGCTGTGAATAGGTGCTAGGGACACAGACGATCACGCCGTGGGGCTCAGCCCTCTAGAAAGCCAGACCCCTGGGTGGGCAGGAATTCTCGCAGGAGAGTGAGTGGTGACTCGCCACTCTGCTTCTGCCCCAAGGTGGGAGAGTCCAGGTGTGCATCGCAGCGTACGGGGCTGCTCGGAGCTCTGCTGCTGTCACCGGAACGGTAGAGCCCTGCGTCTCTGGTACCTTGTCGGCTAAGGGCCTGGCGGTTTGCAGCCAGTGTGCCTCCCTGCGCGTCATAGCTTCCCCAGAGGCCAGACACACGGGGGGGTGTGTCACTGCAGGCCTCACTGCGGCCCTGGACTCCCTTCCTCTCTGGTACATGTCTCCCTTTTTTTTTTTAAATCATCCAGGTCAGGTGACTTTTCTTCTCTTTCCACCTTTTTGCCAATTTTTTTTTCCCTCTTGAAACACAGAAGCAGAATGAACTTCAGTGCTCCTGAAAGACGGGATGGGTTTTAGGACTAGAGTCATCATGAGGCCTGCAGCCCTACCAAGTGACATTCCAGCACACTGTCACTCTGTTCCTGCCTTCACTTCACGGTCCTTGGCCAGGGTTTTGGACTACATCTCAGGGCAAATCTGCTTTCTGAAGGGCTCTGCTTACTTCAAGTGATGGCACCCGTGCGGGAGGTAGTTGTGGCTGGCTTGACCTGCCTGAGGCGAGGACGGAAATGGTATTGGGGGCACCAACGGGTGCTGACGCCAAAGAGGGGATGGTAAGGGCTCTCGAGCCCGGGCCTTTCCTCCTCCGTGGTATAACCATCCTTTTGAGCAAAAATAAGTGTACAAGTTCTGGCAAGTGCATTGAGAATATTGAAAACCAAACTATCCTGGAGGTTCTGGGGTATGTGTTTGCCAAAGCCAAGGTAGAATAGGTAATTGATTACCTGGTGGAATTTGAAAGACCATCAAAGGAAGATTTATATTAAATAATTATTATATCAAAGATAACACTTGTCAGTTCAGCTGCTGGTATCTGATTACATGCACAAACTTTGGACAGTGTTTACAGAGGTTTGAAGAAAGTTAAGTTGAATAAATGTCTCACCTTAAAAGAATGGGGATTTTCTCTGAAAAAGCCAAATGGATCAATCATTTCATCCCATTAAATCTAAATTCCCATGCATGCTGTTTGGACAAGGAACAAAATGACAGATGTGGCCAATCTCAACAAGGGAGGATCCTTGCACACGGTCTGTGAATAGTCAGTACCTATCCCGACTACTGAATCATAAGGAAAATACATTTGTAGTCCTCTACTGTATTAACTGAAAAAGATATGCATATCAGTGAGCCTGCACAGTTCAAATCTATGTTGTTCAAGGGTCAACTGTATCTCCATAAACATTATTCACCAGGCACTTGTGCTTGGTTATATTCTGACAAATCCTAATTTGAAGCACTATATGGTAAGCCATTTGGAAGAACGATGCGATCTGAACAAGGAAAAAAAAAAGTATGTCACTTGACCTACATTAAAACACCTACAGAAAGATACCGACTCTTGGGTTGGATATATCTGCAAAAATACTTTTAGTTCAGATGTACAAAACACATCTTATGTACAAAACATGTCTTGAGAACACTCAAATAATCCAAAACTGAAAGCTCTGTTAGTGAATCACCACCCACATTCCTTACGTCTGATCTTGGCAACTTTTGCTTTTAGCTTTAGGCTTCTAACTCTACTTTTTTTAAGCCCCTCCACTCATGAATGTATAAGGGAAGAAAAGGGCTATCAAATTTGAGCAGTTTAATTCAGCTACTTGTCTTCTAACCAAAACTTTATTTTGGGAGGAGAGGGGTCCTGTGGCAGTGAAGAGGGTAACATTTTTACAAAGATGAGTTAATTGGGAATTAATTGGATTCCATCTACCTACATTCTTCCTGGCTCCTTTGTCCATGGGGAAAGAGATGGCTCTATTTGGACAACCGGAGAATTCTTTCAGTAGCAAGTCATTGTTCCTGGGATGGAGTAAGGTAGGAAACAGCAGTGATATGGAAGCTGTGGCCAACTATTTTAGAAGCTGCCTCTATTCTGGTAATGTCTCTCGAGTACCTTCTTTGAGACTTATTCAGTAGGATAGGCAGCGTGCTCACATTCAGGCAGGGTGGTCTGAAAGAGAACACTCTATGTATTTTGGTTTCCTCTTAGTATTTGAGAAAAGGAACAAACACCAGCTCCAAGCCAATGTTGGGATTCTTAAATAGCTCTGTGCTAGTAACATTCACCAAATCAGAAGGAATGTAGTTTTGTTTGTGATTTTTGTAAATGAGCAGTTAAACATTTTCCTGGTTCACACCGTCTGGTAGGGGCCGTTTGAAACGAAATACCTTCTCAATTCCCCGCCAACTACCCATACTTGTGGATAGTTGCACAAATTTGCAACAATTGCAAAAAATTTAGAAAACAAAACAATTTAAGCCTGTTGTCCTTGCCAGAAGCAAAATGTGTGTGACACAGAGCCCACACAAGGACTAGTCCTAGTTTCTTGGCCTTTCAACAGAGCCCCTCTCTAGTCCCTCACGGCACCGATGGGAAAACACCAGCAAAGCACCAGAGACTGGGATGGAGAGAGACAGGACCACACAGACGGAGGACAGCACACAGGCGGTCAGGAGCACGTGCTGAGGAGGACAGCCATTCCCACTGGCCTGTTACTTTGCAGACCAAGGACAGGACAGGCAGGCGATCAAATCAAAGTCCTTGTTTTAGGGGAACTAGGTCCTGGGGCAAGAGAAGCAGCATGAAGGGATGTGTGCAAACACACTTGTCTGCAACCGAGGGGAAGGAAGTGGGTTGGAGCGTCTGCAGAACAAGGTCAGAAACAGGAGTCAAGGCAATGAGGGCTCCTCCCGGGCCGTTGGAAAGTGGGGAGCTGGAGGCAGTTTTACTGGAATAAAACATTCCGTTGTCACATGGTTACCACTTCGTGTACTGTTTGCTAATCAAGACTATCCTATCTGGGAGGAATAATCTTTTTCTTTTCTTTTTGGCCTACAGTAAAACTCAGTCCCAATTTTTGTTTTTCCCAGAGCATCTGAATAAAAGTGTTTAATAAAACTTGAAAATTTGGTAAGTTCTAGATTCCTTTTTATCAAACTACAAGGCATTCTTTTTGAGATTTTCAAGTATAGAACTATTGGGATTTTTTTGCTTTAAAAAAATTGTATCATCTGATCACCCTTAAAGACTGTTCACTTCTTGGATCATGGCTGAAACCGACTTGCCAAGGACCCCTTTCTGAAAGCTGAAAGTGGGCAGGCGTTGGGTTGCCCGGGCTGCATGGTAGGTCACTGGGCCCCCAAATCAGAACCTCTTCAGGCTCTCCTGGGTTGGGACTGAACTGAGGGAAAGGCAAATGAGGTGTCCCCCCTCTGTGGGCAGAGGATCACTTTCCCCCAGTGTAGAGGCCAATGCCAAGCACAAGGCTAAAATAGGACTTATTCTCTGTCTGGGGACTATCTCCATCCCCCCAACATCTCCCCCCCCGCCCCCAGCCAAAGATCCAAAATGGCAGAAATGGGCAAGCTGTGTAGGACAGAATCTGGAGTTCCCCAGTGAGTCCCTAGGTTTCGGGCAGAAAGGATTCTGTAAGCCGGCTGCGCGACTCTGCCTCAGCCTGCCAAGGTAACACGCACCTCTTCAGAGATGAAGATGCTGTGGGGGGTGGGGGGGGTCCTGTCTGTGGGTGCTTGCAGACCCCGTACCGCGGCCGGTGGGGCTCTGCACTCCGCTCTGTTTCCTTCTTTCCAAGGCCTTGTTTTTCCTTCTCTATATATGTCATGAATCTTTAGAGCAAGAGGACACCCGGAAGATCATCTGATCCAGAACTTTCCATTCTCAAATGGGATCTGTAGCCTGGGGCGGGAGGGCCAGCATTTGCTCAGGATTTTTGCAGGTTGGGAACTGGACCCATACGTCCTGACTTCTAGTCCTATTTTTCGATTAAAACACACTGCCTCTCAGAAGAAGAGACCCCAACCAAACCCACACCACCCCCGTGTGAAACCTGCAGCTGTCCGTGCGCCACAGGAACCTAGGGACGGATGCACATTCTGCGGTATTAGAAGAGACCGGGAGTGGTGGGGCTGGGCGGTCTTGGAGGCAAAGTGAGCGCAGACAGCGTTTGCCTAGCACGGCATGTGCTCCTGCATCCCAAGCTGTAGTTCTCCCTGCTCCCTCTCCTTCGCAGGTCGTTACTGGGGGAGAATTTGGGGGGAGGCTGTCCACCAGAGCAGCAAATACTCACTGTTTAGGGTACCTGCTAGTGCGTTAATATTATTCAGCCCAACAGTGGCTCCTGCCAGTCCTTGCAGCGTCCCAAGGGAGGTCAAAGAATTCATGGCTGCACCAGCAGTGGAGTTGGGGGTTGAAGCAGCCACTGAAACACAAAACACGACAGGGAGACGGGGAGAGAAAGCACCAGGTGAGTGAAAGCCAACCGGCCCCGGAACGTACTCATCTTCCCACAGGGTACAGAGCGGGGGCCGCTCAGGCACCAGGGCCCTGGGGCCGCTTCCCTCCAGGCCGGCGCCTTATCCAGGTTCGCCAGGGACCGGCACCCGGGGGGGCGGTGCTAAGTCGCAGTTCTTGGCTTTCTCTGTTTCTGCTTCAGACTCAGCATTTTCTTTTCTCAACGAAATTTTGAAAAAAGAAATCCTCCATCTTCCTGAATTTGACTGAAGACTTCAGGGCCCAGGTGGTGGTGGTAACAGAGTGAGGAGGGTACGAGAAAAAGCATTCTGTTCCAAGCTCTCTCTGAACTACCCCTCCCCCACCCTGCCTTTAGGTTAACAGGTTTATTGGGATGTCATTCACATACCGTAAAGTTTATCGCTTTCAAGTGTACAATTCAGTGGGTTTTAGTCTATCCGCAGAATTATACAGCCAGCACCACCATCTAACAGGATATTCTTCTTACCCCAAACAAACCCATACCCATTAGCACACATTCCCCGTTCTCCCCTCTCCACAACCCCGCCCCCCCACCCCACTGGCACCCACCCCTCTACTCCTGGTCTCTATGGGTTTGCTTTGCCCGGATATTTCATGTAACTGGAATCATACAAATTGTGATCTTTTGTGACTGCTTTCCTTCACTTAGCAAAGTGTTCTCAAGGTCCATCCACGTGGCACGAGTCAGTACTTCATCCCTTTCTAACTGCCGAGTAATAAATACTCCGTTGTACGGAAACACTGTATTCTGTTTATCCATCCATCAGTTGGGGATGTTTTGATCGTGCTGACTTTTGGGCTAGTATGAATAATGATGCTCTGAACATCTGTATACAGCTTTCCTGTAGCCGTATGTTTTCATTTCTCTTGAGTGTATACGTGTACACACACACACACACACACACACACCCACCCACCCACCCAGGAGTGGGATTGCGGGGTCATATGATAAATTTATACTTAACTTTTTGAGGAACTGCCAGACTGTTCTCCAGAACAACTGCACTCCCTATCCCTTTTACATTTATAATGGCTTCTGTAAATAATATTTCAAGTACCTTACATTTGTATACAGTCGTATAGCTTTATACTCTGCTGACTTTTCCCACGTACATCACTTCCCTTTGTCCTGGTGACGGAGGGTAAAAGCTAAACTGAACTCCAGCCAGTGCAAAAAGAAGCATCTGGTCCATTTCTAGCTGTGAAATCAAGGATGGCCAGGAACTTTATCCATCCTTCTGGAATGTTCCTGCTCAGCTGGAGCTCATCCTTGTACTGCCTTCAGAAGCCACATACCGAGCATTGCTGGAAATGCACCTTGCTTGGGATCCCTTCTGGATGAGGTCAGATCAAATGCCTTAAAAAATGAATTCCCCACCTTGTCACATTTCTATCCACACATGGCACTAGCTTTCGATACCTCATAATGTGTATGTGCTTGCTTTCTCTTTTTTCAAAGAAAATTATATATAATCCAATGTCTTTCGTCCTTTTGTATTAGGGAACTTTTCAAATACACACACACGAGACGATAACATGACAAACTCCTGTAAACTCGGATCCACATTCTAGAATATTTGAGAAGCAACTTACTCTATTTTAAGGCATAAATTCACACCTTATGTCATCTCACCTCTATATACTTCAGTATGCAACTCTAAAAATCGTGGATGTTGTCTTTAAAATCAAAAAACCATTATTACACCTCACAAAAAACAATGGTTCCTTGGCTTCATTATGTGATAATATCTTCAGGATTTTTTCACCTGTGTACATGGATAAGATGGGCATTTATTTTCTCTTCTTGTGCTGTCTTTAGTTTTGCTAATAAACTTTTGCTAACCTCAGAAACTGACTCAGTGCCTTTATTTTTGCATTTTCTGGAAGAAATTATATGACTTTGAAATTACCTGTAACTTAAATGTTTGGGAGAATATGCCAGTAAAAGTGGTATGGACTTGATATTTCTTCATGGGATGATTTTAAAATACAGATTATGTTTCTTTAATAAATAGGATTGTTCAACTTTTTTCTTCTCTACCCAGTTTTATTAAGTCAGCGCTTTCTAGGAGCTTGTATATTTAAGTTATCAGATTTATATTGGCACAAAATTATTAATATGCTCTTAATAAAATTTTAAAATCAGGAACATTTACATTTAAGTCCTATTTTTTTTTTTTTTTTTTTTGGTCTGCCTGAGCTGTCCGTTACTGAGAGAAGCATGTGAAAATCTTCCACTATGGTAATATCAGTTTCTCCAGGTAAATATGGAAATTTTTTGGAATACACCTTGAAGCTATGTTGCTACTTGCATAGATGTTTGTAAATTATTCTATCTTCTGGTGCAATAAACTTTTTGTGGTGATCTTCTTATTTCTACGTTTACCTTGAAATCTGTTTTGTATGATGTTTAAAAAATAAGGCAGCAGATTTTTTGGTTATTTGAATGGTGTCTCTTTTGCTATTGTTTTGCTTTTTTGTGTGTTTGTATTTTACCTCTCTCTCTTATAATCAATATATACACAGGTTTTAAAAGCTATAGCCCAACAATTTAACAGTCTTTTAGTAGAAACTTAAAATTTGTGCTATATGTTCTGCCTATAATTTTTCTTCTTGCCTTCATTTAGGAGTGTTACTACTCTTTTCACATTCCATTTTCCCCTCTACTACTCTGAAGGGAATGTATACTATTTCTATTCTTTTATATACTACTATAACAATTTTAACAGTTAAACATAACTTATGCAAATCAACATTACCTTTATTCCTTTGCCAGAACATTTGCCAGAATGTCTCTCCATTTGTGTATGTTTTTAGGACAATGTCTAGAGATTTTAAGTGGTTGACTTTTGTAATTTTCACCAGTTATGGTGGTTTCACCGGGGAAATGGTTCACAGGTATGCTCATATTACTGTTCTAGAAGTACTTCCCCGGTGTCACCTAAAACTGTGTGAAAATTCTTCAGGCTTTTATTACCGGTTTGGAATCAGAACGTGCATAGTTTTTACCCCTTACTTCCTGGCACAGCAGTCTGGTGAGGGCTATCTAGACTGAGGCCAGATTTAAATGTATTTGTCCACGGGAAATAGTCCAGCTAGGGGACTTCTGTTTCCAGTAATCAGGTGGTCTAGGTTACCAGGGAGACTCTCAGTAGAAAAAAAAAAAATAAAAAAAACTAAAATGCTTAAGAAGGTATTTTTTAAAATACTGTTAATCACATCAGTAACTGGAAACTTAGTAAGGAACACTTAGAAATCAAAGACAAGTCAAAAGGGGGAACCCAGAGAAGTCATAGTGCATTGAAGGCAGCTTTCTCCTTAAGGGCATTTGGTGAACGTATAAATTTTGGCTTTAGCCAAAGCATCCCAGTGCCTAAGAAATACCAGAAAGTCTAGGGCTCATCTGAGGTATAGCATCTGACAGGACACCACCCCTACATAAGTCTGGAACCCCAAAAGGGTAAACAATCTAAGGATCAACAAAGAATACTCCCTCTTTGCACACTATAGGGAAAACTGCTTGTTTCAAAACTTAGTGCACAGTAGGATGAGGGCAATTTCTCTGACAATGTTAAACGATAATCAAGCCCTCATGTGAGTTTGCAACCCAACTTTATTTCATCTGAGTGGTCAAAAACTCACATGTCTCGAACTTAGAGTGATCCCAGGCCTGTACTTCTAGCATCTTCAGAATCAAATATAAGTCATCCTTGAAAGGACCTATTTTCACCCCCAAAGAATTCCTAGAAATAAAGTCTGAGATAGTTAAGCTGACAGTAAAAAAGACAGAGACAGAGTTAGACACCATATTTTGATCTACCAAGACTTCAGATATTGGACTTGTTAGCACACAACAGAAAGGAAGTGCATTTAAGATGTTGGCAGAAATTTAAAAAGCTTTGAGAAGTGAAAAAAGCATGTGATTATAAAAAATGACCAAGCACACTGATAACTAAATGAAAATCCTAGAGGGGCGCCTGGGTGGCTGAGTCGGTTAAGTGTCCGACTCTTGGTTTCAGCTCAGGTTATGATCTCAGGGTCATGACATCAAGCCCCAGGTCAGGCTTAGTGCAGAGTCTGCTTGAGATTCTCTCCCTCCTGCTCATGTTCTCTAAAATAAAATCTTAAAAAAAATCCTAGAAATGAAAAAAATAATAATCAAAATACAAAATTCATTGGGTACATAAGTTTAACAGTATATTAGATACAGTAGAAGAGAGAATTTAGGGAGCTGGAAGACAGATTTGAGGATTTATACATAACAGAAATTGAGGAAACATGAGATGTTGAAATGCTGCAGAACAGATCTAACATGGCTAGATGAAGTTCAGGAGGAAAAGAGAGAATGGGGAGAAGGCAGTATGAGAAGAGTTAATGACTGAGAATTTTCTAAAACTGATAAGATGCCCTGCCCCCTCTCCAAAATCCATATATTCAGGGATTCCAATGAATTCCAATCAGGAAAAAGAAAAATACATTATTATAATTAGATGCACTACAGCAAAAGAACACAAAGCAAACAAAAACGCAGAACACCAAAGACAAGGAGAAGAGCTTAAAAACAACTAGAGAGAAAAAAATGCCTTCAGTAAGTCATTGAAGTGACAATTAGACACCTCAGTACCTGGAATCTCAACAGTAGTAATGGAAGACAGATTAGAAAAAGGTGCTGAGATAAACTGTCAACTTAGAATATCCAACAAAAATACACTTCACAAATTAGGGCAAAATAAAGAAGTGATTGTCACATAAAAGCTCAGACTTTTTTTTTTTTTTTTTACCAATAGACCCTCACTAAATGAAGTTCTGATGGATATGCTTCAAACTAAAGGAGAACATTCCTAGATGAACAAAAACTGAAAGAATTTGTTGCTAGCAGTCCCTGTGTTGTAAGAAATACTAAAGCAAGTTCTTCAGGCTGAAAGC